TACTGCCAGTGAGATGTGTGAGGTTCACTCGTTGTGTTTTTGGTGTCTGCTATTTGTGAGAAAACAGCACCTGAAGGAGGGCTCATTCATGTGAATTATGCACAGCGCGATAATTTTTATAGTAATGAGATTCCTCATTAAATGTGCAGGAAATTCACACATGACACGTAGGTGTCCAAGACTTCATTCACTGTCAAGGGATAAAAAATAATTTCTGAAATGAAGGGAACCTATCTATTATGGAACAAAAAAAAGTTAAAACATTTTCTTGGTTTAAGCATTTGGCAAATTGCGTGGGACACTGGGCTGTTTCAATGAAAATATGGGCTTATTGCTGTACTTACTTGCTGAACAGCTCACTGAAAGTTTATCTGGATACGGAAGTATACAAACTTGCTGAAATATTGTGCACATTCATCAGCAGAAAATTCAGCTGGGGTCCCATGCTGGTTTAAAATGGTTTAAACTGTCTTTTGGACACTTCCAGCTGGTCTTCTCTGGTCTGGTCGTGGTCAGAGCTGGTTAAGATGGTTTAGCTGGTAGAGTAAGGTGGCTTGGATGGTAGATCAACTGACTATACAGACCAGCCAGCTGGGTGACCAGCTTTAGATGTTCGAAAACAGCCTACACCAGCCAGCCCAGCTTATGCTGGGTTTAGCTGGAATTTTCGCCAGGGCTGTTCGCTAACAAGCTGAAAAGCTAAAGATAAAATCACTGAGAGGCAGTGCCTTGTTTGTAAGCTCTCAGGAATGCTGTGCTCTGACTCGCAAAGTGGCTCATGGCTGGCTTATTTGACCGGGAGAGGAGAGAAATATGAACACCTTTTGTTAAAAAAAAGTCCTTCATTAATCAAGAGAGTTACACTCTGCCAGAGTAACTGCTGAGCGTGTTCTTGGCTTGTTTTGTTCAAGGAGAGTCGTACAGTTCTGAAGGGTAACACTCGACTACTATACTTTCTCTCATCTTTTCTGCACTGCTGAGTTGCTCCTGCCCAAATTAGCTTGATTTTGCTTTTCTTGTTGGAAAATGGAAATAAATAGTTTGCCTGCTTATTATAGTTTTTTATGAACTCTGAAATTTATACAACTGTCCTGTAAAATAAATCGTCTTTTTGACGTCTTGGTCACATCTTACCTTTTGCCATTTGAAGTCATTTGCACTTGATAAAACTGCTTTTATGTCTTTATAATTACAAAAAAAAAACATGAGTAAAGCATGAAAAAATGTTTTACTTGTACTTCTCGTGCTGTTCCAGTGTGTGCAAAGTCAATTAAACTCTTCACTTCATGCACTATCCCTGCAAAACCACAGAAGAAGAGGCTTTGCAAAGCATGAATCTGAGGACAGCAGAAGAGACTCATCTGCCTCTCCCTGAGTTGTCGTAGTGAATCGGGCTCCTGATTGCGGCCCCTGGAGGCCATTGGATTAAAGAGCCGCGGTCAGTTTTATTACTGCAGGCGCAGTGTCGGTGCCCTTTGAGCCGTAATGAAGCCTTTTGCTTTATTTCCTTATTTCTGCAGCATCTCAAACCTACTTATCTGTTGAGCTCAAAGTTGTGCTTTTCTTTGTGCTCTTCACAAAGTGTAATGCTGTGAGAGGTGGAGTCGGTTTAGTGTGTTTGTGTGTACAGTGTTTGCTCTGCTTTCATAGCAGTGATGCACCGCCTCACAAACGGATTTACCACCACGGCAACTTATGCGTCAAGAGTATAATTTAGCCTAAATGTTATCTATAACTAAACTCAGCAGTCCAGATGCTTGAGAGGTCATGATTATTTAATAATTAGGATTTTTTACATCAGAACCTCAACTTTAAATATAAATTATACCCTAACAGCATCAAATATGAGGCAAAATTAGAATTTCTGCCCAAATCATTGCAGCTGAATTGAAATTACTGAGGAAACACCGGTGTGGGTGTATTTTTATGCTTGTGCTCCTGTGTGCACGCAAGTGTGTGCGTTACATTTCGATGGCTGGGCTTGTACAAATATGTACATCTTTGTGCATGATTGCATGAGATCATGAGTATATTTGTCATAAGATGGTGTGCTCACTTGTGTATATAATTTCACAAGGTAACCTTTTTTCTACATTGTGTGAAAAAGGATACGATGTATTAAATCACCTGATGAAACGCTTAATACAGAACCCAGTGGCCGTGCCTGGCTCCACACTGCTCATGGATATGGGAGGGATACAGTGGGTTTGGGTCAGCATGGTTCAATGCTCAAGTGCCTCCTACTGGCCATCCAGTCGCCCGTCGGTCGCTCTCTGCACATCTACATGTTTGGGTTTCCTCAGCCTTCATTCGGGGAATGCCGTTGACAGGCATGTGTTACTGAAGAAAGGAGCGAAGCGTTTGCCCTTTCCCAAGACGACAGTGTGGGTCTCGTATGAGCGCGCTCGTATGTAGGTTGTGGATTGGACATTCCAGTTTCGGGTGGGATGAGAGGTGCTAGATTTATGGATTTGGGGCTTGGGCTCTTCATACGGGGAGAGGGCGGGGTATTCACAGTTCGGAGAATGATTGACATGTACGCTTAAGTCCTCGACAATCTTGACATTTATGTATTTCCCCTCCCAGTCTGGCACATTTCAGACCCGTCTGCGGTGCTACGCCCTGGACACCCTATCTGTGCGTGCACCGTGTGGCCCTCGCGTCTGAGGCTATAAATACGAGGCGGAGTTAGCGGAGCTCTGGGTAAATATGCTTTATGAAAACAGCGGCCGGGCGGAGTGGCGGCGATAATGAGCTGCTAAAAACGAGGGATCAGGACACCCCCCCCAAACTGCTCCCCCTCGTCTCTGTCTGGGAAATGGGATTCATGTGCACCCCTCCTCCAACCGCATCAGACTCAGGTCCCAACCACAATGTCATACTTTTCAGAGTGAATGTGCATCTAAACATGCATTATACATTCACATTACGTCCATCATAGCTATTTAGCCGACACTTTTATCCAAAGGGACTTTCACTTGGTTAGATTAAGATGGGGGCCATTTGCCCTATGAGTAATTGGAAGGGAAGGGCCTTGGTCAAGGGCCCAAACAGCTGTGATGATCTTCAAACCCTCTGATTTCCAGTCAAAAATGCACTGGCAACAAAAATGTCCTGATGAAGAATATTATAGAATGTCCTCCTGTACCAATAGTACCTTAAGCTTCCCTTCTTATGTTAAACTGCTAATGCTAAACGTGTTCGCTTTGTTTGTTACTCAGTTTGGAGAAAGTGACGCTGCTGGTGAGGTACTGGTGGGCTTGTTGGGTTCAGCACAATCACAGAGCCCCAGTGCTGTGATGGGGATTCAGAGCTAGAGGAGGAGCTTTGCCATCCTTTGCGTGTAAAAATGGGGTCCTGACTCATGGCCATCAGAGGTCCTTTGCCACTCTCTGAAAGGGTGGAGGCGTTAATTCTAGGGTCGTGTTTCCTGGACAAATTCTTGCACGAAACGCTCCCCATCTGCTCACTGCATCATCTCCAGAGTCTGGCTGGCTGGCTGCACCTTGTTTACCTGCGCTGATCCTTCACTGAGTTCTCTGTTGACCCAAGCTGTAACTTAAAGGTAAAATGGTCTTCGATAAATCGTTTCAACCTGATACTTCAGTGATGCTCTGCTTTGTGCTAGAAGCAAATTTTTTTTAAATGCGATACCTCAGTTATCTCGCATTGTGTTAGAAATGACCACAACTTTTTTTTGTGTAGTCCTCATTTTTGTGTCCATAAAAATATTTCATCATGTGACACTGTGTAGAATGTAGTTGCCATTTTTTAATATTTGGTGGCATATCCTTGATTGCTTGAAGTCTGCGACATATACACATCACCAGATACTGGCTGTCTTTCCTGGTGATGCTCTGCCAGGCCTGTACTGCAGCATCTTCAGTTCCTGCTGGTCTGGGAACGATTGTCCTTCAGTCTCCTCTTCAGCATGTAAAACGCATTTTCAGTGAGATTCAGAGCTGGTGAACGGCTCTGCCAACAGAACCAAAATAACAGAAAAGTGTCACTGTGCTCACCATATAAATATAACTGCCCTACATTTTAAATTCTCCTTACTCCTGACTTATTTTGCGGTACCAGAAATCAGTTGTCGAAGGGAAACAAGAAAACCCTGCTCTCACAGCGCCCCCTTAGGGCTGTCCTTCAAACTGCAGGTACTGACCCTCCCGGACTTTCACATGGCGGGACTTTGAAGCCACATTTGCACCAAACACTTTCAGCGTAGCACCCTTAGAACGGTACGTAACCTGTACAGACCAGTGTCTAAACCCTCACTCTGGGTTTTGTTTCCACTGCAGACAGTTCTCTTAAATGGTGGCGGGGTCGTTACTGGATGGTAATGACTGAGTCAGCCACTTGTCCTTGTCGAGCAAGAGTGACAATTCTCGTTTGACCAGTCAATAGACTGCAGTGTTTCTATCTTCACCTTTTAGAATCAGTTCAGTGTGTGGAACAAATTAGAATGGTTCTTTTGGTACCATCCAGGACTTCTGACAAAGGAAATGCAAAAATAACCAGTCTGATGTGTAATAGACTGAACTTTACCAGGCTGTTTGGTGAAAACGAGATGTGGTTTTGTGCCTGTTTTTTCGGGGGATGTGCTTTATTGTAGGATGTCAAAAGTCTTGACAGCATTTCACAGCGCTGCAGGCACAACATGTTAAAATGTCCTTCAATTAACTAGATGACTCTTTCATTCCCCACTCTCTCTTTCCCTCTGCCTTTATCTCCCTCTCTTTCCTTCACTCTGCCTCCACCCTTCCCTTATCCCTCTCTCTGTTTATCTCTGCCCCTCTCTCTTTCTCCATCCCTCTCTCTCTCTCACAGGTAGTAGAGCTCATCTCCAGTGCCATTGGGGACCTGGTGATGGGCATCTACGATGAGAACTCTTCCTCTGCTGAGGTAAGTGGCCATTTTGTGCCAAACCGTAACCATTTTGCAGCCATTTTGTGCCAAAGCGGGTGCCCTGGGTTCAAATCAAAGGGGCCCAGTTGAGGTAGCCTGTGGCCTAGTGTATAAGCTGCCTTACTGGGACTCAGGAGGTTGCTGGTTCTAACCCAAGCGTGGCCACAATATGATCAGTGCAGCTGTTTGGCCCTTGAGTAAGGCCCTTAACCCCACATTGTTTCAAGAAGATTGACTCCTACTTTGTCGAGTCAACTCTGAGTTGCCCGGGATAAGGGTATCGGCTAAAAACCTAATGTAAAATCAGAAAAAAATCTGCTGTAAGATTATTTACTTATGGTCCTATATTTAACGCATTTTTATACTTTAAAAGGTAAAACCTGAACCCAGCTTTTAAACCCGATCTGCCCGTCCTTGATGGTATTATGGCTGTAATGCATGCCATTTGTCTGCTGCTACAAATGCTTTTCTGATATAAATCTATATTACCCTATCAGTGTCCCTCTGCATCCGATTGGTTCAACACTCATTTCCTGAAGGTCCTGTTTCATCCCAAATATTTTGCGTTAAACAAAATCTGATGGTGCTGCATGTATTTATCTATTTGTTTATTTATTTATTGTTAAGTTTGGTTTGCTTTGACAGTTATACTTACATACTATGCTGTGTCGAATCCTAGATTTGTTTGATACTGTTCATTTTGCATACCTGATAGTTTCTTTTTTTTTTTACAAATTTGCCATCTCCAATCCCACCCGAATCTGGAATGCCGGATTAGAGAACTATGTACAAGCTTGCTCGTATGCGACCCCATGTTGCCATCTTGGGAGAGCGAAGACAGTTCGCGGCTCTCCTCTGAAGCACACGCCTGTCAGCCACTGCTTCTTCACACTCATTGGTCGAAACTTCGCAAGTTCAGAATGAGGGCGGAGGATACTCAAACATGAGCAAGCTTAGAATCTGCCTGACAAGCGCCCGGCTGCCGTACAAGATAGTTAATTAAGCCATGAGTTGATTGAACTCTGTAAGAGTATAAGGTACACTGTGAGAATGGATTTTACGGTGTTCAGTACACATTTATCCCAGTTGACCACAGGGTTGAGTTTACACCCGTTAGTGTGGATTTATCACTATTTATTTAAGATTTTTTTGACATAATTAGAGTTCACTTGACTGTTGGAGTTACATCGCCTGAATGGTGACTGAATCAGTGGAGTGGATTTAACACTCATTAGTGTGGATTTATCACAACTGATTTAAGAGTTGATTTAGCATTTTTTGATTGGACCTTGGCACGGTGTCTGAATTGGCTGTTGATTTTTGAAGAGCTGTGCACTGAAAACATTAAAAGATGAGCAAGTCTCTGAATTGTATTATAACCTAAAATTTCAGTTCCATTACTTTTTTTTTTTACCAGAACACTGGCGATGAGGCTGGACAAGTGTGACTCATCTCTAGATTTACTAATATGTGAAGAAAATGTGCACTTGCTCAATGAACTGTAACTGAAAAAGGCCAATATTTTCCACCTGAGAGAGAAAAAGTCTCATTGCGAGACTAAAGCACTTGTTAAGATGGGTTTTTTTCGCTGTATGCAGCAAAATGGCCGACAGGATTTATCTCCTCCAGAATGGGGAAGGGGGGGAGACTCGAGTTACCTTTGGAAGGAGTGAATTTCCGAGCAGAGGACGGAGCTGTTTTCTTACCCCGTCTCTCCAGGTCTCATTTCACCGCCCCCTCCACATTCTGTCTCCTTGTGTCTCTGCACGTAACAGGTATTGTTACAGGAGTCTTAAGCACTGTGCTGGTGCCCCCTCTCTGTCCTTAGCTTGGTCAGGGGGCAGCCTGTGGGCTCTTCACAGAGGGGTTTCACTTGGGCCCAAGGAGCTTGTGGTTTCAGGCCCCTGTGAGGCCACAATTGAAGCTCCTTGGCCCTTAAGCAAAGCCTTTGATCCAATATTGCTCCTGAATTAGCTTCTGCTTCATCTAAATCAGGTACTCGTGGGACAATAATTATTATCCCCCGCCGCGCGTTTAGCGCGAAGCGGGGGATATAGTATTCAGCTCCGTCCGTACTTACGTCCCGAACCTTGTCAGCGCGATATCTCAAGAAGGAGTTGACCGATTTCAATCGTTCTTGGCACCGAGGTTCCTATTGGGGATACGCCGACACCAGTCGATTTTGGTGACCTTCGCATCAATTTCAAGGTCGTTACGATCGAAAACATTTTACAGCTTTTAAATCCTTGTCAGCGCGATATCTCAAGAAGGAGTTGACCGATTTCAATCATTCTTGCCACCGAGGTTCCTATTGGGGATACGCCGACACCAGTCGATTTTGGTGACCTTCGATCAATTTCAAGGTCGTTACGATCGAAAACATTTTACAGCTTTTAAATCCTTGTCAGCGATATCTCAAGAAGGAGTTGACCGATTTCAATCATTCTTGCCACCGAGGTTCCTATTGGGGATACGCCGACACCAGTCGATTTTGGTGACCTTCGCATCAATTTCAAGGTCGTTATGATCGAAAACATTTTACAGCTTTTAAATCCTTGTCAGCGAGATATCTCAAGAAGGAGTTGACCGATTTCAATCATTCTTGCCACCGAGGTTCCTATTGGGGATCCGCCGACACCAGTCGATTTTGGTGACCTTCGCATCAATTTCAAGGTCGTTACGATCGAAAACATTTTACAGCTTTTAAATCCTTGTCAGCGAGATATCTCAAGAAGGAGTTGACCGATTTCAATCATTCTTGGCACCGAGGTTCCTATTGGGGATACGCCGACACCAGTCGATTTTGGTGACCTTCACATACCTTTCAAGGTCGTTACAATCGAAAACATTTTACAGCTTTTAAATCCTTGTCAGCGTGATATCTCAAGAAGGAGTTGACCGATTTCAATCATTCTTGGCACCGAGGTTCCTATTGGGGATTAGTCGATTTTTGGTGACCTTCACATACCTTTCAAAGGTCGTTACAATCGAAAACAGTTTAGTACCAAAACTTTGTTACCACGACATATCAAGGAGAAGTTGACTGATTTCAACACTGATTGGGTGACTTTGATATATTTCTCAAGGTTGTTGTGATCCAAAGTCATTTGGAACTGCCGAAACCTTGTTACTTTGTTACCTTCTTTCTTTCTCATTGACCCGATAAAGACATATAGAGCTAAGTTTACCCATTATACATTTGGTTCAGCTTATGAAGTAAATTGTTTAAAAACGAGTACATTTGGTTCAGCTTATAAACTAAATTGTTTAAAAACATATGGTGGTAACAGTGCATTTCAGACCACAGCTAAGTCTACCCATTATACATTTGGTTCGGCTTATTAACTAAATTGTTTAAAAACAAGTACATTTGGTTCAGCTTATAAACTAAATTGTTTAAATACATTTGATGTTAACAATGCATTTCAGACCACCGCTGTGTTCACAATATCTGGACTTTTTCTCCAGGTATTCATTATAGTCTGAAATGCACTGTCGAGGGAGATACATTAAAACATAGCCATTTATAATTGCTATACCTGTTGATAGCAATATATGTTTTGACTATAGTGACCCCATAAAATCAGTGATATGGTGAAGTTTGTTGTATCTCTTGTGTGGTAGAGCCTCCTCTCCAGTTTTGTCTCATTGTATAATAACCCAAGCATATAACCTGATATCCCATTCTCCATCATTCATCCATATCATATGGTTACAATAACTGATTACAAAAAGCGGCGGGGGATATGGTCACGTTAGTGACAACCTCTTGTTGATAATCTGTCTTTATCTTGTTTTTTTTCTATGGTATCTTTATAAGCCAAGTCATGTATTATTTGAACAGCAAAGAGAAAAGCTCTCATTTTTGCCATGTGAAGATTTTTTTTTTTGCAAACAATGGCTTTAGAGTTCTAGTTGTGGAAACATTTATAAATCTTGTACTGGGGACGTTTACTTCTTTTTGTCAGGATGTATAGTTCATCAGTTATCCAGCCAGTTTCACTGACACAAATTATGCCTAGTCCAAGTCCAAATTCAAGTTATTAACCCCTTTGCGCAGATATAGACGCCGGCGTCCGTTAATTCCGAAATTTAATTCCTAAATAATTCAGTAGTTGACTTTTCAAACGTTTTGCTTCACTGGAATAATTTTCCAGAGACTCTGACACAAATACTGGGTTAGAAAGCCTAAATAGGCTCATGCGTAACAGGAAAAAATTGGCATTGTTTGTATTCTGCGCAAAGGGATTCATAGAGATTGTCCATACAGAACTCAATTTAGACAAGGACTAAATTTAATCTGGGTCTTTGAAATTTGATGTCCATTTTCAATCTAAATTTTCATAGATTTCAATGGAGATACATGCATCAAATTAATCACTTGCTTGATTGCTATTCATTTTTTTGTATTCTTTATTAAACAACTATTTGTTATTAGTATGATCATTATTATCAATTCCTCCTTTAAGGAGGGGAGCCCTGTGGATGACATCACGATGGCCTCCTGGGAGGAACAGACATTCCTGTCTCATGGATCTTTGCTGGCAAAAAGCTGCCAGGCAGCCATGGAGCTGGCCAAACATGACAAGCAGGCGCAGGCTGTGGCGTTTCAGTACGGAAAGCACATGTCACTGGGGCACAAGGTGAGGGTGGCACTACAGACACATTTTATTTATTTATTTTTATTAACCTTTATTTATACAGGTGAACATCTTATTGAGACCCAGGGCCTCATTTACAAGAGAGACCTGTTCAGGGTCGGCAGCAGCAAAGCACTAAGTTACAGACTAACTGAACATACAGGAGACAAGACACAAAACATTAAAATAATTGATGCAAAACTGCAAAAGTGCGACAAGAAGAATAAACTAGTTAGCACATGTGCAGACCCCCACAGACACATGTTACTGGGACAAAAGGTGAGGGTGGCACTACAGACACATGTTACTGGGACACGAGGTAAGGGTGACACTACAGACACATGTTACTGGGACACAAGGTGAGGGTGACACTACAGACTCATGTTACTGGGACACGAGGTAAGGGTGACACTACAGTCTCATGTTACTGGGACACAAGGTGAGGGTGGTACTACAGACTCAGGTTACTGGGACACAAGGTTGGGGTGGCACCACAGACTCATGTTACTGGGACACAAGGTGAGGG